GTAGCCAAGGGCCTGCCACGGTTCCTTCACCTTGAAAGTGTAGGTTCCTGGTCCGACAATCAAGGGAGGCCCTTAGCCGAATGGCTGACACGGCTGAAGCGACAGCGAGGCGAGCTCAAAGGGCTGGAGCTCGACGTTCATACTGAGCCAGGGCATGCCCTGGTGGATCGAGTCCAGGCGATGCTAGACAGTGCGCAGGTGTTGCACATCCCGCCCGAGAAGTGCATTTCTCGACAGGATGAAATCTTGGGGGACAAGACCGAGCAAAAGTTGTCACTGGGGGCGGATGGCAACATCAAGATCACGAAGCAAGCCACTTCCCTCCGATGCGGGACCACCGGCGAGCTCAAGCTGAGGAGATGTTACCTCCGACGGGCCTTGGCTTTCGATCAGGTGGGTTTGGCAAGCTTCGGGGCTATGGAATCGTGGCATAACAAAATGTTTCAGGCCCTGCTCGATGCCCCTCCAACGGGCTACCGCTACACCACAGTGCAACAAGTCTTAGCGGGAGATCAGAAGCTTTGGCAGGTCGTCGCCCAAGAGAGCCGCGGTGACATTACCATCGGGGTGGGCCTCCCAGCTGGACCGGCATATCGCGGCTGCAGCTGTCAATCAGTTTGTCATGGCCTGCCTCACACATCTTCCCAAGCCTCCTGATGCACCAGCCCCCACATGGAAGCCGAATGGCAAAGGGGCCAAAGGAGAAGAGAAGGGGAAGCACCGAGGAGGCAAAGGCAAGAACGGCAAAGGCAAGGACAAAACGAATGCAGATGCCGGCCCTAGCACCTCGCTCAAGGAGCTCCTGGACAGCCTACCTGAGGGCTGTGTTCGGGCTACCGATGAGGGTCGCTTTATTTGCCCGTTCTACAACAAAGGGATCTGCCGATTCCAGAAGCGCAAGTCTTGCCGCTTCGGGAAGCACATTTGCAACTTCAAGGGGTGTGGGGCCGCGCGACCCTACACCGAGTGCAGGCATTGACTAGGAGGCGGTGCGGCTGCCAATGACAATTCTCCGAATTTGAGCTCAGGAGCGGCTTGCGCGCCTGAGATTCTTGCCAAGAAACTTTTGCGGCAGAGCGATCCGATTCGCGCCGCCCAGGTGGCCGACTTGTTCGAAGCTTTGCCACATGACGTGTGCGACAGAGACGCCGAAGGGCGCTCTTTCTCTGCAGGCCTCTTTTCGAGGGTTAAAGTAGGACTTCGGAAAGCCTGTAAGCTTTTTCCTTTGTCGGTGCAAGCGGTGAACAGGTTTGCAACCTCTTTTTGCTTAGCGATGCAGTTTACACCAGTTTTGCAATATTTTCGAAAGTGAGAACTGGCGACCATCGAGACAGCCAGAACTCCTTCCTGCCGAATTACGTAATTCCTTTGACCTCCTTCGAAGGGGGGGCGATCCAGGTCAGTGAGCCGGGAAACGAGGTCGTCCTCGATGTCTCTAAAGGCCCAGTGCAGTTCTGTGCCAGGCACTACCGTCACTCGACAACTCCATTTCGAGGGCAGCGTAAAGTTCTGGTGCTGTTTTCCCTCAGTGCTGCCTCGCTCACTTCGGCTGAGGACGTTCGTTGCCTCAAACGTTTGGGGTTCCCATTGCCGAGTGAGAGAGAGAGCTGAAATCCAGCAGCATTTGCACCTCCCGGCAGTGTCCACTCCCAGCAGATTTGCAGGCACTGCTACCTTCTTCAGAGGCATCCGAGGGCTGCAACCCCCTGCCTGATCAGGGCCCCTCCGATGCTGTCAAGCCTCCGACTATGGTCGAATGCCTCACTTCGTGTGCACCGATAGCTTCAGTTGCCTTGGCTGCCGGATAGGATGCGACGCCGATTGGGAAATCGAAGCATGCCTTTGTTGGAAACCCGCTGGTCCCCTTGGACCTTTCCAAGGATGGGGAGGTGCAGGCCTTGCTTAATTTTGACAGCAGTTCCAGTGTTGATTGGTGGCATGCGCACCTGTTCTTCACTTCCTGCAGCCGGCCCTCTCAGTCAACCAAGGCTTCTGCACCCCTTCGAGATGCCAATCATCTCCTTGGCTGCCCGGGCGTTAACCCTTCAGCTGAGGCCTTGCTTCGCCGCGACAACGATTTGTGTCAAGCCTTGGTCACCATTCTTTTTCGGGCTTTCGAGTCGGGCGCTCTTGTGTCACTGCTAGGCCCGGCCCGTAGTTGGTGTTGGAGCCTGCTTGCACATTTCGTTAAGCTTCGAGGGCACTCGGCTTTCAAGGAGTGGTTCTTCGCTTTGCAGGACCAAGAGCTGGACACGTGCATGTATGGTGCCCAGTCACTGACTTCCCTTCGTGTCAAGGCTACTGCTTCTGCTTTCCCTCAGCTGGCTCTCCCGTGCGATAAGAGCCACAAGCACGTCGCGCGGGTACCCCCCATGCCCTCCTGCAAAAGGTTCATGGATTCCTCTGTGCCCCAGAAGCTTTGCAAAACCCTCTGCGAGTGTGCCACCGCAGCCTGCCTGGGCAATGGGCAGCATAAGCTAGCAGCTAAACGGTGCCGACAACTGCGTGCAAAGGTGCGTTCGGCTGCCGGGAACCAGCCTTACTACCGCAAACCCCTAATCCCTGAGTTTCGGGTTAAGGTTCCTCTGGTCCAGGTTGCCCCAGGTGCCGATTACAAAATTCTCTCCCGAGCTCCAGGCTCCTCAACGGGGGAAGCGATTGAGCCGGAGCCTGCAGTTAAGCGATTTAGGTCCTTAGGCCCCGGGGTCCCCCATAACCGGGTAGGAGAAATCGATGGTGTTCATAACACGATGGAAGAGCACCTCAGTCTGGCTTCAGGGCCCTCCGTTCGTGCCGATACCCGGGTGGGAGAAATCGCTGGTGTTGATCACACGATGGAAGAGCACCTCAGTCTGGCTTCAGGTCTACCTAGCCCCGCAGATACTAGTGACCGTTTGCCAGACCAGGTCCGTCGTAACAGTTTCGCGATCCTTACCGAGGGCCCACTGGCGATCTCCAGAAAGCGGATGCTTGCCCTCCAACAGCTTAACAGTCAGCTATCCGAGTTGGCCTCGAGTGAGCAGGAGCTTAGGAAGGGAATGCATCCAGATGTAGAGGCAGTGACCAAGGGCAAGGCCATCGCTGTGTTTCGTCAGCTGCTTGAAGAAACAAACTTCCCTGACATGTCAGTCGTCGACCTCCTGCAGGAGGGTGTGCCTTTGGTGGGGCAAGAGCAGGAGTCGCCGCTCTTTGCAAAGCGCCCCAAGCCCCGCGAACTTGAGCCCGAGCAGCTGAAGTCACAGGCGGTGTTGAGGAGAAGGCTGCTCATGCAGATGAAGGGGCTAACCTCAGAGCAGGACTTCGCTGCGATGAAGGCCGAGACAGCCGAGGAAGTGGCCTCTGGTTTCTTGCAGGGTCCTTTTCACTCGGAGCGAGAGGTTAGCGAGCTCCTCCAGACGGAGGAATGGTCTCTCTCCCCCCGCTTCCTTCTCAGGCAAGGTGAGGACTCTAAGATCAGAAAAATCGATGACTTCAAGATGTCAGCTGTCAATCGAGCTTTCGGCTCGTCGTCCTTTCTTGAATTGCAAGACACTGATTATGCAGTGGGCATGCTGCGGTTCCTATCTCGTGTCCTTCAGAATCAGGATTTGGTCAGGGTTCCTCTGTCGGATGACACCATCCTAGAAGGTGCCTGGGCTCCCGAGATGCTCAACCGGCCCGCGCTCCTCGGCAAGACCCTTGACCTGAGCAAGGCGTACCGGCAGGTGGCGATCCACCCCTCAACACGGGAGCATGCTGCGCTAGGGTTCCCGAATCCTAAGGGTGAATGGGAGTTCTATGTGGCCAAGAGCTTACCCTTCGGTGCAGCCGCCAGCGTCTATGGGTTCAATAAGATTGCACTAGCTGTTCTGCACGTGATGGTTTTGTTTGCCATTGCAACTGATTTTTACGACGACTACACCATGTACGAGTTTAAGCCTGCTGCCACCTTGTTGGACAAAGTCTTGATGCGGTTGCTTGACATCCTAGGTTGGGCCTATGCCAAGACAGGGCGCAAATTTGTCCCTTTCGGCTCGAAAGTGGTTTCTCTTGGTGTTTCTTTAGGCCTTGGCGAACTATGGGAGGGCATCTTGACTGTGCAAAACAAGCCTGGCCGTCTTGAAAGGATAGCTGAGCTACTCAGGGCCGTCGTGGCGGGCAATGACATCACCCGTTCAGATGTGGCCTCCTTGCACGGCTTGATCAACTTCGCGGGAGGCCTCATCCTGGGATTTGAGCTTAAACCCACCTCGAGGATGCTCTCTCGAGCCTTGTCTGGACCTTTTGTGGGAAACAGCCCAGAACTTCAGCAAGCCTGTGCCCTAGCCTTAGACGTGCTCGCGCAGTGTCGTCCGAAGAGGTGCCCTGCCTCAGTGAAGCCACCCATCATCTTGTACACAGATGGAGCCTACGAGCGTGGAGTCGCAGGTTGGGGGGCCGTCCTAGTGGACCGCCTCACAGGTGCCTGTTGGACATTCGGCGGGAAAGTGGGCGACGATCTTGTGTCCCACTGGCGGGCAGAAGCAGGCATGCAGGTCATCTGTCAGGTTGAGGCTTATGCCTTGGCCATCGTTCTCTTCGGGATTCGAGGCTACGTGAAAGGCCGATCGATACTGGCTTTCATTGACAACGACCCTTGTCGCTTTGGGTTCATCAAGCGATACTCACCTTCGTCTTGCATGCTGCGAGTGATCTCATTGGTTTCTCTCATGGAAGGCGCTCTTGAAGCTCTGCTTTGGTTTGAGCGAGTGCCTTCGAAGAGCAACCCAGCTGATCTACCATCTAAGCGCCACGAGCGGCTCAAGTCTAGGGGTGGGTTGTAGTTTTCCTTGCCATGGATGGCGCTGCATTAACGTGATTTTCGGCATGCTTGACTTTTCACTCACGGATTACATGGTTTCTGAAGACTTTTTCACGGAACACATTGTCTCGTGGGCGAGCCGAACTTCGGCCCCCTCCTGGAGGCCCCGAAGGCATAGACTATACTTTGCAATGTTTCTGTTGCTTGGTTCATTGATGCTTTTCCAACTTAACTACATGGCATGGATCTTTGAGTATGTGGCGAC